TTTCCACCTTATCTACCTTCGTCTTTGATACACACTTCTGCTCCCCCCCCCCTATTGAATTTTTTACACTTTGATGTTCCATCCCCTCTGTGAAGACTGAAGTCAACTAAAGGGCTAATGAAAATCAAAGCGCCTGCCATTTGATATAATAATAAAAATGATTAAAACGCCTGCCATTTGATATAATAATAATACTTTGAAATGGAAACGCCCGCCATTTTATATAATAATAATAATAATAACAACTTTTAAACATAAGCTGCTATACATTAAACGCCAATGAAGATGTTTTTGATTGGTTCAATTCCTTGAAAATGGTGAGACCAACAATTTACCTAATAAAAGTGTCCAGAAATAGAATAATGGCTTTTTGTAAATATGCTGAACTCCATTACTACCGTGATTCAACTTCTTCAAAGTTCGGCTTTGGCGATTAAGGAGGGAGATCTCATTTTCCATGTACCAGTATGATCAAATATAACCAAAATGGAGGATAAATTCATTTAAACAAAAAAATTAAACACACCCGCTATTTAGTTTGAGAGAGTTAACAAACTCTTAATCTGCCCTTATGATTAAAATACCCAATGTGATAATTTCATTAATTCCACATATACTTTAAACTCATTTGGTAGTTCTCTTAAAGTTGCTTTTTAATTAAATGATTTTCTGAGGGTGAGTGATTGAGACAAAATAAAATATTCTGATTTTAAAACATTGGAGCTAACAAGTAGCTACCATCTGGTAATGTAAACATTCCAATCTACAAATTTAAAGAAAAAGTTAACCTTAGATTTAAAATACAACCATAACAAAACAAATTTCTGATTCGTTGTCTTAATTTAAGCGTTTTGTACCATTTATGTATTCATTTTTTGAATAGCGATATGATAAAGTGTTGTAAGATTTGAATTACTCAACTTTGTGCGAATATTTCACTCCAGTTTTTGCTATTCATCGACCAGTTCTGTGCATTACTCTTCTTTCAACTTTCAACTGTTTTTTTCTACATTTTTTTCAATCTATTTAATAATTGGTTTTTTAGTTCTTGTAATTGCAAAGACTTATCTCCCTTCTTTCCCAAGGTGTTAGGAAAGGGGGGGGGGGCAAATGGCGTACTTGTCTATTGTGAGAGCGAAACAAAGATATTTTTCGATTCCAACTAAAAGTTGTGCAAAATGACATGGAAGACAGTTCACGTCCAAAGAAAACCATAATTTGTTCCCTGATCAAATTCTCATACATAGAAAGCGTTCGTTGATCGATTAATTCATTATGATGGTAAAAATTGGTATATTTAAGCTGTGGACCACTCTCCTAACGCAATCTTAGAGGCAGCACTTTGAAAAAAAAATCATTTTTTTTTGTCAATTGTGAAAAGGACTGAATAAAATTCGGGCATCGATATCTATAAAAGCTTAAAATTGACGGAATTAAGACTATTGAGAGGACCATAAAACTGTCAACACCGAATTATCATGAGAACAAAAATGTAAGTAGATTTTGTGCAGTATCTGTTTTCATGAGATTTTTTTGTAGTCGCATATCGCCCTCTAGAAAAGCTTCAAAACAATCCGCCAATCATCACGCACAGAATGGACATTCAATTTACAACCGTTTACGGCCAACCTCTTCAAACGTCCGACTCCCTTTGTTGTTTTGGTTTGTTTTGTTTAGTTTGAAGCGGTGAGATTTACCAATCTCCTTTTGTCATTCTCCCCCCACTTTTGCCAACTTCTAGAAAATCAATGAAGCCTAAAAATTTGGAAACCCACAGATGGGAGTGGGGAGTGGAAATGGAATTATTCAAATTGTAAAGAAGTGAGGTAAGCAACTAATTATACCAGATGAAAATCAAATTAATTTAAACTAAATAAATCATAAGCAAATGCCGATGAATTACAACTTTTCAATTAAAATTAGACATGAAATAATTAATTGTTGTCGATTGCACCCTTAAAAAGGGAAGGAAATGTCAAAAAAAAGTTCTGGAAAGGATAAATCGATCGTGGTAAATAAGACTTTAATCCATCTTCAAGTTAGGAATCCAAATTAAGACGCACACGTAGGGAATTCTGGGAAAATAAAATACAAATAGATTCGTCTGATGTGATAGAGGTGGGCACACAAACATCAGTGAGTAAAACTGATCTCCAATATATGAGAGTATGTGCGAATTTTGGAAAAAAAAATAGATATTAAAGTACGCAAATAAGGAAAGAAGGAAAAGCTTACTGAGGTTGCAACTAGCGCCAGACCAACCTCGATTGCAAACGCAAGTGTCATTAATGCACTGACCATTGAGTAGACACTTTGAATTGCAAGTTGGCACATCACAATTGATGCCCCTCCATCCATCATCGCAATAGCAGATGGCTGGATCGATGAGCGCTGTCCCAATAGGCAACAAGTCTGGAAGATCCGGTCCACCGGACAGGAGTTTACGTCTATCCCCAGTGCACACGCCGTGGACGCATCGGCTAGCACAAGTGGCATCTGTAAGCAACAACGAGAAATAGGGAAAAATTTATTCAACCAAGTTGCCGTCCAAGCGAAGGTCCAAGGAGCGGTTAAATTAATTATTCACACGGAGTTGAGAGGGAGCGAGAGAGAGGAGGAGGAGGAGGAGGAAAGGACGAAGTTCAATTCATTTTGTTTAAAAAGAGGTGGTGATTAATTCCTGTCACACCTTGTGAGACTACTCTGTGTGCCCATTTAAGTTGAGATTTAAAATAGGCTGGAGTAACGCCGAAGGCATTTTCTAAAGATACACTGCAAGTTACTACTTTTGGTATAAAATGAATCAATCGGTGCAAGAAGTGGAAGAAAGAAGTGCCAATTCTGCTTAATATGGCAATATCATAATGAACAATTAAGTTAGTTGAATAACTAAAAAGATTTTGACTAATATGTACGAACACATCATTTGACAAAAGCTTTTTACTGATGTGAATATCTATTTAATTCGACAGCTATCTTCGGAAGCCGAATAGTTGGAGGTAATAACAATCTATTTGCTAAAATTGGTCGACTAAATGAACTATCAAAGAAACACCCTGAGCAGCGAGAGAGAGAGAGCCAAAAATATCAGCGGAGAGAGAGTGGAAATTCTATCCTGAAGGCTCGGTGTTCAACAATCTGCACTGGACGAGAGGAATAGCCAAACCAACTGATTAAATCTGACCAATTAATGAGACTGATTGAATCCAAGCTTCCTACCTACCAGGAAGGCTGAAATACGACATTATTTTATCCAGGAATAGTATCGCCAAACGCCTTCATAACTGCTGACTTGTCACAAACGTTGGTATGGACTCTCGGGATTCCTCAATTCACCAATCTATAAAGTGCAACATTCTAGGCTGCAGTAAAGCTTAAAAGGTCAATTCTTCTGCTAATGATAAGTTTGCCCACTGGATATCCCAAAACTATGTTTGACTCAGGCTACAACGTGGAGGTTGAGAGAGAGAACATAGATAATCCGTGACACTTTATCAGGCAAATAAAGGCACCGTGTAGGAATGCGAGTTGTTTCCAAATTGTTGATGCTTGGAGATATAAGCAATTTCAGTCAAAAATAGGGCCAATGTATCACTCACTCTGATAAGAGTGGTTGGTAATAGCTAGATAAAACACGAACAGTTGGTTAGCTTTAATTGTCTTTACATATAATTCAAATGTTATAGTAGAAGGAGGAAACGCGTAACTTGAACTAACAACTTACAAGGTCGATTGATTGCTTACACCAAATCCTAGAGAAGCATCTAGCTGGAACGAGTACCAGGGCATTCAGAATGGTATCCCTCAATTCACTGTTTACTTTGAGTCATTTCAAAGTGGATTTAAGCGTATCCATAAGTGAGAACAACCTAGATTTTGGCGATGCTAACAGCGAGTACTCAAAGGGTAGATCGGTAGTCGATGTATATCTGAAATTAGTTTGATGTCCAATGACTAGGTCACATAAACTATGTGTGGCTGACACTGTTCGTGCACACGCGCATGTATGAATGCAGGAGAGAGTGGAGAATTCCCCCAAATTAGTCATAGAAATGCTAACCGAAATGAAAAGAGGAGAGGGGTGGGTGGGGAGGGGGGGGATAATTCAGAAATATCACACAGTGCGAGCTAAGAACGGACGAATGGCAAAGAAATGGAATTTGTTGGCAGTTCACGTAACATCGATCAACGCTCCGCTCGATTATAAAACGATGATTAGACAGATATGGACCAGATAAATGCCCATGTACGGAATAACATTTTCTTATCCCTCCGTCTACAATAATAAGTGGTAATAAATCACCTAACGAAAGTTAGTCAATGATTGCAAATAGGTGGTTTCTTACCTAATGCTTAAAGGAAGGCTATAAGACTTCCGGCTAAATTGTGTCATGAAAGACGCGAATCCCGAGATAGAAATAAGTATACTATATACTATTGAAGGTACAGCATTTAAAAGATGAAAGCTCAAAGGGAAGAAGATTTAAGGACTACGTAGAACTCCTTTTATAGTCGGTGGTAGCTTAAACCCACACTGTTAAACGATTATTTTACGGACAAGCTGACAAGTCGTTGGCAAGGCCAGTGTCAAAACAAACTCCTTCAACTCTAGGGCCCATAAGAAACGCTGCCTAATTCCTAAAAATAAGTAAGAGGGTTATCACAGCCCCTATTATTAAACAATTAGTTAAATCATTAACTATAACCAATTAAGCCTTTTCAAAAGGCTAAAGAATTGTAATAATTCAGGCAGTTGTAACAAATTCGAGACAATAACGAACGTTTTATAAACACGTATAACTTTTGACTTATTCGAGCATGTTTGAAATAGTACCATTATTATAATTATTAAATTGCTACATCATCCAAATTCCCATTTATTACGAAGGAAAGCATTGCCATTAATCATGAATGAATTCCGACAATAGCCAATAACTGTAACTTTGATGTAAAATCTCTACAGAGCATCTAAATGAGCTAGTAATTCTCATATGAGCAAAAGCCAACCATGCAAGACGAGAAAAGTATAATTATGGGAATTGTGGGAGCGGAGATCGACAATGAAGATTGGTACATGTGGAAGGGTTCCAATATTCACTAAAAAGAAACCCCTACTTAAAGAAAGTCTGATTTCAACAGCTTCACACGACTCTCGCAATAAGTGTAGGCACAAATCAAATAAAAATTTAAGGGAGAAAAAGCTGTTGAGGGTAAAGGAACACAAAGCCTGAGAATCCTTTAAGAATATAATGAATAAAGAAAGGGAGAGTATAAAAAATGAATTGAACCTCCACCCGCCCCCACCCCCCCCCACCCTCCTCTCGATATTTCCCGCTAATGCAAACAAAAAAATATTTTAAATCAGAACTACGAGGCTGTCTGAATCACAAAAGTCTTTATTTGCACGCAAATCATATTTTTCATTAGTGGGAGAGCGCGCTTAAAAGCGCGCGCGCACGTTATACTGGGTGAGGAGGCACGCACTTAATGCGCGCTAAAAAGGGAGATGTGGGAAGTGCACATCATTGTCAATAGCATTAGACCAATAGAAAAACGCCATTCGACGGCGGAGGCATCTGCTTTTAGTTCTGTGTTCTCAAAAATGCTGAGGGGAAAACATTTGTACATTCAACTACTTCAGTCAGTCGGAAAGATACTTTTAGGGGCAAGTAGGAAAGATATTTGGATAGAGAAGAGATAGAAGAGAAATAAATTATTAGCATAATCTCTTTCAGGTCAAGTAGAAGTCACAGAGATCAGAGGAGATTACCTTTCTCGCAAATAGGTCCTTCGAATCCACGGAAACATCGACAATTTCCATTGGAATCACGATAACCGTTGAATGAACAGGAGGCATCTGGTGATGGTTGTTTAGCGGAGTCGTCTTTCTGTTGGGATTGGTTGGGGAATTCGATACCACCAACTGGGAACTCAGATGCCACTTGTTGGTCACAGGCATCACCGCCCCAGCCAGAGAAGCATCGACAAACACCGTCAACACAGACACCATTTCCAGTGCAATTTTGTGAAGAACAGGACTCTGAAGGTTACAAAAAGTGCAGGTGGTTAACAAAGGTCACAAATATAAAACTGAATGCCATTCTGATATTTAGGCAAATACGGAGGCGTTTATAAAATTGTTTCGCCAACAAAGCTCATCAAATTGCTTGAAATGAGGCACCTTGATTGAATTTCATTTAGAAAACTCTATGATCGATGCCTGCATCTGCCGCAAGATCGGTGCGATATGAATGGCCAACCGTGGAAACGATAGAATGCGAGTTTCTGAGATGAGAGCCTACAGGGAAACAATATACCCCACAATTCAAGCGGTATCAACATTTACAATAAGGGTGGTGGGAAGCTTTAGTCTTGAATATGCTTAAAAGACTACTTACACATGCATCTACTCTTTTTTTTAAGAAGTTTCGAGGTCTGTTTGTAAAATTCTCATTTAAGTAACTACAACTAGTAATTCCCAAATTCCAAGTAATTTTAAACACGCGTCAGAAACATACATGACAATGTCAAACACACGGGAGTCAATTAGACTACTTGATGCTTTTTCCACTGACGATATCTGGAAAAGTGCTGCATAAACAATAGCCTTAAATGTCAGAGCATCCTAACACAAGGAACACTGAAATCTCCCACTGATAAAAAAATCGCCAACACTTGGCGCACCCACTGCAGTCACGAGCCATCCACAACATTTAAGGCGTAATTATTTATTTCCCTCGACAAAATGTCCACCTTCTTATTATGTGAACAGCAATAAGAGAGCTTCGACAACGCCATTTTCAAGCATATCTTTTGCGCGCAATAAAATAGGCATAGAGAGGCGACATGAGTGACAGTCTACAGAAGTAACTCTGAGTTGGATTGACTTTCATTGTCAACAACACTCGTACAATTTTAACCGCTCAAGGGATTATGATGTAATGTGAACTAGTCGAGACAAGTATACGCGTAAAAAACACAAATTCACGGTAAACCTATATTTTATACCACTTTGCATTGAAATAAGTCTTCAAATCAGAAAAAAAATCATCATTTTGGGCCAAGATTTATAACTCGATACGAATTCAAGAGATGTATATTTCGCTGAAAGAGACATATAATGGCTTCGAAAGCAAAGAAGCTTCAGAGTAATTGAGGCATAAATGACCACAACTTATTAATCACCAACTTTTTCACTCGTAACGTAGTCCCGGCCCTGTTTCGACAAGTCACGTGGATTCTCTTACTGCTAAACACCATCGAAAAGAAATGAAACATATTTGCCTTCGGTACAAGACAGCGTCGGAAGGTTATCATACAAAGCAGATGGCATAGCAAAACATTGGCTTATTTATCAACGGAATTTTATAGAGGGGCAATGAAAACGTCACCCATAAAATGTACCACTCCTCTCCCCCCCCCCCCCCCCCCCCCCCCCCTCCCCTCCCTCCCACCCTTCCACCGCCAATTATACCTTCTATATGTGCACACAGGAATAAAATACCCCTAAAGGGTGGAAAATAAGAGTGAAGGAAGACAGTTTTACAGTCAAATATGTATGAGAATGATGACGATGATAGTTCTGTCAGGGAGATCTAGACAGTGTAATTAATTTGAAATCTCCCCCCCCCCTCTACCACCCCCACCCCACAGCCGCCTTAAATTCATCCTACCTCGGACTAATCAGCAAATTGCTGCCATCAAAAGAGTGCGTGACCTACGTAAATTTGCGTTGATTATCAAGAAAGGAGTGAATTAGGCGAAATTTGCTTCGAGGAAATCACAGCTTGTAAATACCGATAGTCTAATTGCTAGTGAAGAATAGTTGGTAATTAAAGAATAATTGCACCTAATTTAGATTTGGTGTCAACTCTCTGGGTTGAAAATATCGCAAAGATTGGAATAACACTCAGGTCGAATAGCATTCTTGAGACAGATGAATGAAGTAAATCTACATGCGTGAGGACTTGTGAGCTTGTCGGGAAGACACAATCAATCTCAAGAGATTATGACACCTTAACACTATGGTAATAGGAGAGGCATTAAGAAGAAAATGAATTGGAGGAGAGGCACGATTGAGATAGTTGGTCATGAGAAGCAACACCTACTCCCGTTTCCAAGCCTTTTATCTTGAAAATTACGCTCCAAATTAGCAAGTGGAAATAATTTCAAGGAATGATTAGTTTGAGGAATGCAATAAAACGATTTGGTACTGAAAGCCATGTGTCTAAATGGCATCTAAGATGGGACCTATGATTTGAACAAGCCCTTATAGTTTGACCACAAAAGATCCGAAATAAGATATGCTATTTCACTTCTAAACGACACTTCTATTTAGTCATTTTTAAACTTTTTAACGAAGGTTGCTTTGTGCGGCTGTCTACAAAACGGCACTCGACGAAAATATATACCACATTTACGCCAAAAGACACGTATGTAAGATACCCCAAGTATAGCACATTTAGAACGAAGCGATCAAATTAAAGTCGACATTAAACTAATAATCATCCACCTACACTGAGTGGGTAATTCCATGTCCAGTTAACGGGGTGCGCGATAGACTTACCTCCACGTGGTGCACCCTGGCCAACGTATGCTCATACAGCAAAAGTCTATTAATCGGCAGTTGACTTCTCACTTCTAACTACCAACACCCCATTGTATGTCACATTCTACCACTTCCACAGTACTCACCTCACCTTTTCTCTGCCTTTGTGTCTGTCTATTTTACACCTTTGAAACGTTCTTCTCTTCCTCCTCCCCCCCCCCTCTCGACTTTTTGTCACTCCTCTGTGAAGCCTGAAGTCAGCTAAAGGGCTAATGATAGCTATCATAACGCCTGCCATTTGATATAAATAAATGTCCAGTTAATAGGGCTCAAGTAATTTGATGTGTCTTATCAACAAGCTGTCAAAAAAACAAAGGAGTGGTAATATCCAACATGCATCGTAACTTACTGAACTGACAGCTGTCTCCGCCATAGCCGTCGAAGCACATACATTCTCCAGTTACACACCTCCCATGACCAGAACATGTTGGATCTTGGCATTCGGACCAGAGAGTCTCGCATTCGAGTCCTTTCCACTCGGGGAAACAATGACACTTGCCTTGACGATATTCACCGTGTCCACTGCAGATTGGTACATTATCAACTAGGGAGGGCAGGAAAGGAAATCGCATTGAGATTGCAGTAAGATAACAAAAAATACAACCAATCAGAGTTTTAATAACAGAATGTATAGTGTGGGACAACAATAACTATGCAATAAAAGATGAAGATCTGGGCCCATGTAATTTATAAATAGGTCTCATTCATATGCGGAAACTTGGAAAAAAAACATCTAGAATTTAAATTAAATTTTCAAGATGTTTGATATCTTAAAATAGGGAGAAGAATTGATAAATCAGGAATTAGTGACCCAATTTCCATCGTCCCCCCCCCCCCTCCCCTCCCCTCCTCGAAAAATCTGAAAATGATTACTTTCCCATGTCGTCAAATCTATCACTTTTACCTAACTAAACTGTTGAATTTGATTCAATATGACAAGGTATAAACAGACCAAAACGTGTTCTCACAGGATAATTAGGGCCTTTGTGTTGACCACCTATGACCTCAAAGATGGGGTGTGCGACAGACTTGCCTTCACGTGGTGTACCCTGGGCAATGCATACTCATACTCGGCAAAAAGGCTATTAACAAGCAGTTGACTTCTCACTTCGAACTACAATGACCCCATTGTATGTCATATTCGACCACTTTCACAGTATTCACCCCACCTTTTTTTCGACCTTTGTGTCTGCCTCTTTTACTGCCTTGAAACACTCCTCTGCTCCCCCTCTCGACTATTTTTCACTTTGATGTTCCTTCCCCTCTGTGAAGCCCGAAGTCAGCTAAAGGGCTAATGATGAATATCAAAAGGCCTGTCGTCATTTGAAATAAATAAATGGCCTCAAAGATAGACAAGTTTCATTGACGTACTTGCTCCTATTAAGAAAAAAATTTTCCCAACCAATTTTGCCCAAATTTTCCTCCAAAGGCTCAAACAAACATTAAGAGAAAACTTGCAACCAATTAAATAATTTTATGTTAATGACCATGGTGCTAAAGTTCTGCTGGTTAGGGATTAATAAAATTTATTTTTACTTGTAAATCCACAAATTCTGAACTCTCATTGCGTCAAATGCTTGAATATGCTTGTAATTAACCAAGGCGTCTTCTTCACAGTGTATGAAGAAGAAGCAGAAGAAGAAGAGGAGGAAGCCTCGTGCCTGAACTGCCTGATGCACCCAGCATTTTCCAGGTGGGCAAAAAGATCAAGCAGGCAAGCCAGCTAGCAAGCAAGCAAGCATAGAAGCGCACAACCAACGAAGCGATAATTTATCATTTGTGCACACCAAAAACCACTACTAACCGAAATTGCGTTGCCCCAAAGGAGGATAGGAAGGGCACGACGACTTTTATGGCATCTGCTGCAATGGGTTTGCAGCAAACAGAAGACAAAANCAGTACTGGGATAGCTAGCCCCCCCCCTCCCCCTCCTTCACCCCCACAGATATATGACTAGCATAGCGCGCATTTCAACCGTAAGATACACCAAACACGGCTCGTTATATCAAACCGTGTTTCGTGTTGTGTGCGTGTCTACATGGACGTTATATGGCATGCCCTCCACACCGAGTCAGCAAATTACACACTAGGTGAAACAGTGATTAATAGAAGGGCACCAATACTTGCACGTTGGCAAATTCATCTTCCTGATTATTAAAATAATGTCAAATCGCGAGGTTAGGAGAATAGCCTCGGTATCGATTAATGTAAAACAAGAAAGTCGGTTTCATGCAAACGCAAACAATATTTTACTCCCATAAAGCTCTGAATTATAACAATGAGGAATTAAGGAATGATTTCGACATTTCAATTAAATATAGCATTTAGATAAAGCATGCTGAGAGAAGCAAATGCTGAAATAATGAAATAAGTACAAGGATTTGGATTGACAAGTAAATGAGCTCAATTTTAACATGAAATTCCCATCAAGTCAAAGATATCCAAAAATAGAGAGTTCTTAAAGCGCAATGACCAAAAATATTCTTTAAAACCTAGCAATAGGGGAATACAAAATGCGAGATTTTCATATGCTCCGAGGGGTGTGCGATAGACTTACCTCCACGTGGTCCACCCTGGACAGCGTTACGCATACGGCAAAAAGTCAATTAACCGGTAGTTGACTTCAAACTACCATGACCCCACTGTATGTCATATTCGACTACTTCCACAGTACTCACCTCAACTTTTTCACTCTACCTTTGTGTCTGTCTATTTTACATCGTTGAAACACTTTTCTGTCCCCCCCCCCCTCTCGACTTTTTTTCACTTTGATGTTCCTCCTCCCCTCTGTGAAGCCTGAAGTCAACTGAAGGGCTAACGATAACTATCAAAATGCCTGCCATTTGATATTAAAAAATTCATTTGCTCCGAAGAGAACTGCAAGAGGGCACTCATTTTAATTGACAAAGCGATGCGTAGAAGTGAATGGCTTGATACACTCTTTCCAAAACAGTTTCAAAACCCCCAACTTCAGGTTAAATTCAAATAAAAATCTAAGCCAGTTGTGTCTGGCCGCATGAAAGACCCGGCGACTCTCGTCCTCACATCTAACCAGTTTCAGCCGGGATCCAGAGTTTTTTTGACGTAGTTACCAATGCTACAAGTATCATTGCGGAAAGCGGATATTATTTATAAATGAAGAATGGGTGGACATGAAAATTTATAGATATGACTCTTTAGGTTAAATCAGAATGTTTCACTGCAACAGCAACTAATCCAAACCACTTTAGCATTAAATATTCCAGCTAGTATGATCGAAGAATGAAAATGTGGAGAAACCGTAAGAGCATGAACAGTCGCCAACCCATTGAGGAGCATTCAGCAAAGATCCGCTGCTCTATAGAAAAGTGGCGACGCAAAAAAGTCTGCACATGCAGCAGAAACAGCAGAAAAGGGAAGGAAAGGCGGACACGCATTTAGAAGAAAATTGTGAAAATGACTCACTGGTAGAGCAATCCTTGCCAGTTAGACCGTTTAGACAGTCACAAACACCCTGAGAGCAAATTCCTCGATTGCTGCAGTCGTTGGGACATCCTCGAGGCATTGCTAAAAGTCAGCAATAAAAATGTTATGTCTATTCACGAGAGAGTGTGAAAAGAGGACCATTTACAAGCTTAAGGTGCGAGCTAGGCAAGATTGGCGAGTTATTAGAAAGTCAGTTATTTAAATAGACATGTGGGATAGAGGTATTGCTAAAGCAGCCTCCCCCCTCCCCCCCTCCTCCCCCGCTCCCCCTTCTCCTCATAGATACCTTCTGTAAGTGGTGCTCACTACGTTGAGTTATTCAATGTTGAGAGGCGGCTGGAAAGTGGGCAAAATAGTTCTAGAAAATGAATTAGACTTCAGAGGAAATGCTGGTTTACAATTGAATTGCAACGATAGTTTGAAATGAAACTACAAGAGTTCCCACATAAAACATGCAAATTCAATTATATAATGTGCACTCCAGTTTACGGTGGTAAACACAAAACATTGTGTGTGTGGGTGTGTGTATCAGCGTCTTATCAGAATAATTGCGAGTATATATACTCTCGGACACTTAGAAATCATAAACAATAGACAGCCAATCCACCTGAATGGAGGCTGAAATTTCTGTTAATTACTCGAAAGGCTAATTGATTACAATAATAATATAAGTTATCAATGGAATTCCAATAGTTAAACCCGAAGAGATACTTTAAGTGCATGAAAGACATAGTGATGTTTTTGTATTTACTACAATGTGCATCAAGTTCAAGACTACATAGAGGCGTTTATAGTTAATATGATACCAATGAATAATCATAGTTGTATAATGGTTCAAATTCTCTTTATTACGAGACCAAAAGAAACGCGAAGCCTGTTTTTGACTTAGCTATTCACGAATGCGGTCGGTTGGAATGGAAATATTAAGCCTTTATGAAACCGACTAACGGATTTGCGTGCACGCTTACTCTCAACTCCCTTAATGAATAATGCGCAACGTAATCAGAAAAGAATAATTTAAGGGAGTCTATAGCAGGATTCAAGAGAAGTCTCAGGCAACTCTCAGCCTATAAAAGTCTTCTCTGAAAAATAACAAATTGAGATTAAGCACTCTCAGAAAATCGATCAATTGCGATCAGTTGTAAACTCTATTCTTAATCGATACATCAGGCTGAAACAGAGGAAAATGTGTACATCCAACCCATCTTTGATATTTTGTAACTAGATATGAACTTTCTTAGCAGACTTCATAAATCAAGGCAATCGGTGTACCAGAGTTTGGTAGGCGTAAAAAGACCTTTGTCGAATTTGTATAGATAGGCGTATTCTTTTCGATCACAATCGTGAAGAACCACGGAGACATTGCCTTCTTTCTCATTGACTTTCGTTTCACTAGGTTCGAAGAGTTCATCAATCAACAGGAAGCCAAATAATTTCCAAGTCCATTTAGGAACATTCATCATGCATAAAGCTACAGTATCACGGAGCTTCAAATAATGAGAAGATGGAATTCTGCCTGCCTATTTATTACGCGAACATAACCAATGACGGTGGTGAACTAGCTCAAAAACCAACACATCTGTGAACTCTGATTTCGAAGGCAAGTTAGAAGCTACGCCACGAATGCAGCGAAGGACCATAATTCCATCAGATGTTTGGCATCAAATGCCCAATAACATATTAATTGATTTCCTCACAGCAAGTTGTTTGGCAACACTTTTAACCATTACTATTACACCAAACTGTAAAAGGTTCGAGACCAATTGATTCGTATCCTTACGTTGAAACTACTACTTCCACTGATTGAAAATAAAATCAGTAAATAAGTTTATCATTGCACAACGCTAAAAAGACTAAGTCGCTGCCGATAAGAATTGTTTGAACTAAACTAACTAAACACTAGGCTTCCACAGAGCGGTAAAAAATGTTTTGAGTGTAGAACTTTAATCATTTCCTTGCGCATAAGTTAGCCGCCTCAAATCCCGCAATAGATTGTAGCACAGTTCCATTAGGAATTACTATTTCAGGGTAACAAATATTCCATTTCCACTAGCAAATAAACTTAAAAGGCAACTGAATGTCCTCACCCTGTCTGACACCCCCCCCTCGCCCCCCACCCCCCCCCCCCCCCCCCCCCCCCCCCCCCTACTACAAACACACTCAATCACGGCCTATAGAGGGAGAGGAAATCAATACGCCAGTCGTGGGTGTCGTTATCTTGGCAAAGATCTTCCAAAGGAAAAATGAAGGCGTGACTGAATATGAAGTTGGGAGAGAATAGAGGAAGATGCGTTTTTGTCACCATTCCTCTCGTCCCAGGTCCAAACAAAAAGCGAGTAATCTTTTGTCGGCAAACCAAACAGCCCCACTACTCTGTGCTTATACTTAGAGCTTGCGTGAGCGTTTCTGTCAGGCTATATTCTCCGCTAGCTTCGCTTTGCATACAATACAGGCAGGCAATATAAATTCCCTCCCTCCCTCCCTCCATTTCGCTCGCTCGCTCCCTCCTTATCATGCCTTTCCCATCTGCTTGAGGAAGAAATTTGTTGTTGAATTTACGGCTGCTCTGTAGGTGTGTGTGTGTGTGTGTGCGTGTGGGTGAGGATATAAAATATTTGCGAATTTCAAAGCGATCATTTATGACTTTCGATCAGCGTGTTCAAGTAAGTGACTCAACCAAGTCCCCCCCCCCCCCAACTACTTAGCCCTGGAGACAT